CCCCAAAACCCCAAAACCCCGACTGTTCGAATTTAATTAAATGATAGGATAATTATATAGATTGATTAAATAATTAAGTGCAATTATTTCCCTTAACAACTTTAAATTTAGCATAAACTCAACTCTTGGAGAGATTGTTAGTTCTTCGCACTTGCAATAATTATTTTCTCTCAGAATTTATCCTTAAGCATATTGAAGAGTGACCATGCATCTTTGTTGTGTTAGTTGTAGTGAATAAGAGCTGGATAGTTGTATTCAGCATGGGTAGTTTGAGCAATGAATGCTTACTTGCATCGACAGTATTTCATGCATTGTGGAATCTAGAAGTAATTTACCCATTGCCCATTGATGCAATCTTCAACACAAATTTTGTCGCAGTTTGTTAGATTATCAATAAGAGCTCCGGCTAGAGCAGCAAAATCTTGTTAGTTTTGAAGTTAAAGTTGTCTTAATTATGCAACGCTGTTCATAAGTACATCAGCCTTTTAGCCTACAGCTTGCTAAACATGATTTTTGGCAGCTCCTAAAGTTTGATTAAGAGAATTCTCAGTGTTTTCCAAGTTAGCTTCTTCCCATTGATTCAAAGTATCGACTCTTAGAACGCAGTCACATTAATGAACACAATCTATATCGAAAATATTTGGCTTTCCTTCAGCAAGATCTTCCCATAAAATGCATTCAGAGACAACACAGTCTTCATCACAATAATTTTAGTAGTTTATAACAACTTGGTTATATTCAGTCTTATCAGCAAGATCAGAAAGAACTGGCTTGAAATATTTTCCATAGTTAAGGATCAAATTAGCTCCAATTTCTCTAAATGCACCACCAATAGTCACTGCAATAGGGGGAACACCCTATTTGATTTACTGAGTGCTAGATTGCTATGCGTATTCAGCTCCTGCTGAAATAACTTTGAAAATCTTGTTTTTGTTGATGTTGTATCTGATATACTGAGCGAATGGAACATCAAGTGGATCAGTTTCATTACCAGTTGGATCGTCGTTTGTGGGATCTTGATCAGTTGGGTTAGTCTCTCCATCTGGATTATCACTAGTTTGATTGCCATCATTATTAGTGGCAGCATTTTCACCTTCATCTCCAGTTGAACCACCATCAGAGGTTGTATTTCCAGAATCAGGTGAGGTACTTGGAGTAGCATAAGTTGGACTGGTAGGAGTACTATATGGGTCGTAATTCACTGTCTAGGTATCATCCTAAGCACTAACTTTGTCGATTTAAACAAGGGCTACACCAATTACTGTTAAGGCGACTAAGAATCTCTTCATTTTAAAGATACGATAAATTAATTATTAATATCTTTTGATCTTGAGTGAATTACAGAACTTAATTTTGGGGAATAAGATTCACGGGGTTTTGGGGTTTTGGGGTTTTGGGGTTTTGGGGTTTTGGGGTTTTGG